AACTTGGAAGCATCCAAGATGTCCTTCAGTAGGTGACTGGATAAACTCTGGTACATCCAGACAATGGAATATTATTCAAAACTAAAAAGAAATGAGCTATCAAGCCATGAAACCTCATAGAAAAACCTTAAGTGCATATTGCTAAGTAAAGGAGCCCATCTAGAAAGGCTACATACTATGTGATTCCAACTATATGACATTATAGAAAAGGCAAAACTAAAACCATGACATTATGCTAAAAGCAAAACAAATATTTCAGTATTACAGGAAAGCTCTTTGTAGACTAAACATTAAACTTTCTGACAGTAAAACATAAAATAAGTATGGATTTAATTTAAACATAGTGACAATGTACAAATACTTAACTTTTTATCTATCTAAACATATATCTAATTCTGTTATTTGTGATCTCAAAAGCACTAGTATTAACAGCTTCTTAATTTCTCCCAAGGTTTTTAATAAGGTTATAATTTCTGATTTTGAATTATATTTAATCAAGGTGAATCCAATATATTTAAGTCTGGTAATAAGTTATTTCCACAATATAAAGTGTTTTTAGTTCAGGCTAATATAACAGCTATATCATTTACTGGGTGGCTAAAGCAACAAGCATTTATTTCTCATAGTTTTGGAAGCTGGGAAGTTCAAGATGAAGGTGCCAGGAGATCTGGATCTGGTCAGGGCCAACTTTCCAGTTTGCAGATGTCTGTCTTCTCATTATATACCCTTGCAAGGCTAAGAGCAAAGACAGCAGAAGCAAGCTCTCTCCTGTCTTTTCTTATAAGGGCAATAATCCTGTTTGTGAGAGCTCCACCCACATCACCTAATTACCTCCCAAAAGTCTCACCTCCAGATACCATCACACTGGGGATTAGACTTCAACATATCAGCTTTGGGGGGACACAAACATTCAATCCAAAGCAAGAGTATACTCACCCTGTGCGTGTAAGGCATCTTATTAAAGGTTTTCTTTCATAGGATTTGAGAAGTTCTCTACCCGAAAATTTCTTCCCGGCCTGAAAAGGCTAAACCACAGGTCAAGAAAGTACTCAATTGAAAACTCAAGACCACACAAAAACCTGCACACAGATGTTTATATCAGGCTTATTCATAATTACCCAAACTTGGAAGCAACCAAGATGTCTTTCAGCAGGTGAATGGATAAACCGTGGTACACCCAGCTTAAGCTTTTCAGGCCACATGTTCTCTTTCAAAACTACTGAACTCTGTCATTTTTGTGTGAAAATAGCCATACACAAAATACAAACAATGATCATGGCCAAAAGTACAGGCAACTAAAGGTAAAATAAGCAAATGGGATTATATGAAACTAAAAAGCTTCTGCCCAGCAAAAGAAACAATCAACAGAGTGAGAAGACAACCAACAGAGTGGGAGAAAATATTTGTAAAATATACATCAGACAGAGGATTAATATCCAGAATACACAAGGAACTCAAACAACTTTACAGCAAAAAAACAAATAACCCAATTAAAAACTAGGCAAAGGAGCTGAATACGCATTTGTCAAAAGAAGATATATGAATGGCAAACAGACACATGAAAAAATTCTCAACATCACTCAGCATCCGGGAAATGCAAATCAAGACCACTTTGAGATATTTTCTCATTCCAGTCAGGATGGCTAACATCCAAAAGACTGAGAATGATAAGTGCTGGAGAGGTTGCAGAGAAAAAGGAACTCTCATACACTGTTGGTGGGACTGAAAAATGGTATGGAAAATGGTATGGAAGTTCCTCAAACAATTGCAGATAGATCTTCCATATGACCCAGCAATTTCACTGCTGGGAATATACCCAGAGGAATGGAAATCATCATGCTGAAAGGATACCTGTACTCCAATGTTTATTGCAACACTATTTACAATAGCCAAGAGTTGGAACAAGCCCAAATGTCCATCATCAGATGAGTGGATAAGGAAACTGTGGTATATCTACACAATGGAATACTACTCTGCTATAAAGAAGAAAGAAATACTACCATTTGCAACAACAAGGATGGACTTAGAGAAAATTATACTAAGTGAAACAAGTCAGGCACAGAAAGAGAAATACCACATGTTCTCACTTATTCGTGGGAGCTAAAAATAAACAAATAAACACACAAACAAACATAGGGTGGGTGGGGAAGAAGACACAACAATCACAACAATTCCTTGAACTTTTTAAGACAAGTGAACAGATATGATATGGGGGGAGAGGACAGAGGGAGGGGAGAAGAGGAATGGGTAAAGGGTCATGAAAATCGACTACAGTGTATATTGAGAAGTTAAAATAAAAAATTTAAAAGGAAAATAAAAATCTGATAGATCAGATTTGGCCTGTAGGCCATAGTTTGACAACCGTTGCGTTAACCCATTTTTCAGGTTAATGTATCCTCTTAAACTATAATATGAAATATGGTATAAATGCTTTGGTTATATCTCCATTTTTAATTATTTTTAATCTTTTTTTTAGCTTAACATGGATTATTTCACCCTGAGCCTCTGGACTATATTTACATTTGCCATAAGTTCTTACTAGCCAAAATACTTCATCAATGGGGGGGATGGGGAGAGGCGGAAAAGTAAAAGATAATTTGAGATATTTATTAATTACTGTGTAAGGATAGTATTAGTTAATACAGTAGTATGAGCAAATTTTATACTGTCTTATTGTGTAGCACATTTATTTTCATATCCAATTATGTGTTTCCATTCTTAGTTTGAGCACTTGCATTTTGAGTCTATCATTTCTTCTAATTGAACTTTATTTTCTCCTTAGCCAGTCTTTTTTTTTTCACCCTTAGAACCCAGACTACTTGGATAGGCACACCTTACTTTTCAGGACCTAAGATTCAACTCATCAAACCTCAAGCCCTTACAGAACAGTTTTCTAAACTTTTTTTTAATAACATCTTCCCCCACTTTGAGGACACATGATTTTGCATTGTGCACTTCATTAACAATATTTTAAGTTTACCTGTTTTGGAAAGGCATGGGAAAGAGTATAGGTGTATCTTTTTCATTCCATACGATATTATTGTTCCTTCAGTATTGTGATCTATTTAAACTACTCATCCAAAATATATTGACAAGATCTGACGACTTCTTACTAGCCAAATCCCAAAGGTCTTGTGCTAGTTCTTGTCCTTTTAGATTCTCTTTAATTCAATACTGTTAACTAACCTGTCCTCAAATTATCATTCTCTTTGCCCTCTGAACTGTCTTCCTAAGAGAATTTTCCAGTTTTCTTTTGCATTTTAATAGTGTTTTAATCTGATGCCAATAGTTTTATTCTCTTCCTAATTTAATCCTAATAGATTACTATCTGAATTATGATCACTACCTCCTCAAACTGAAAATTATGAATACTTAATTTCTTACATTTTATTTTCAGAATCCTCACCACTTATATGCTACTTTGCCCATCTAATTTCTACTCTAAAATCTAAACAATGCTAGTGATTTTTCTGAGCTCTTGATGATACATGGTCTATTTTATACTATTTTGTGTCTCTTTTTCAGCTCATCAACTTGTAAGAATAATATACTGTATTAATCTTTCTCGCCATTACCTAATCCCTTTTTAAAGCTCTATTATTGCCTAATGGGATTGCTATTTATTTCTTCAAGACTTCTCCATCTTAACTTTTCATCCTTTAGTCATGCATAACATCTGAATTTAGGTTTTTTAATCTGAAATTAGTTTTTTTCTCTTATCACTTTCATCAACTTTTATCCATATCCTTACCAAATTCCTTACCATTAAATATTATATTCCCTCCAGTTTTCCCCTACTCATCAACCTAAATTATTCACATATGAATACAATGAAGCTAGCACTGTTCCTTGTTCTCTCTAGGCACATTGAGCCTTTAACCAAGCAATCTTACATAGAAAAGTTTGACTTCATTTCTCTATTTCTCCTGAGAGGACCAGAGTATATTGGGTTATAGCCAATAAGCTACGGGTAGTTGACTAGGCATGAATAACTGTATATTATCACAATAGATTTCATTCATTCAACAAATATTTATTGAGCATCTACCATGTGCTTGCCAGTATTCTAGACAGAGTACAGCAGTGAAAAAATATTAAGTGGTTTGGACAGTATTGAACAGGCCAGGGAAATCCAGGCCAGTCTGTAGAGTTTGGTTTTAGCAAAACAGACAAGTTTGAACCTCTACAGTCTTGCTGCCTCCAATGTGGTAGCAAATAGCCACATGAGGCTATTCGATTTCAATTTTAAATTAGCTGAAATTAAATGAAATTAAAATTTTAGTTCCTCAGGTAAAGGGACACGAAAATCAACTATAATGTAAATTGAGAAGTTAAATTTTTTTTTTTAATTTTAAATTTAAAAAATTTAGTTCCTCAATTATAACTAGCCACATTTCAAGTGCTACTGGCTACTGTCTTTGACAGTGTACATATAGAATATTTCCATTATTACAGAAAGCTGTATTAGACAGCACAGCTCTAGAGATATTGGAACAGATATGGAAAATTTTGATCCTCTCCAAAATTAAAAATATGTCTAAGGACAGCTTGATCCCCTAAATTAGAAGCTGGCTTACTCAAAATGCCAAAAAGGAAGTAGCAGCTAGGTTGGTTTTGGGGGGGTGTTGGGCAACTAATAGCCTTTGCCAAACACTACTCTCCTTTTAAAAACAGATTTTTAAAAACCACCTAATTGAAGGAAATGTTATAACTCACTGTGCTGACCTGTTCCTCATTTTATGTACTAAACATTTATACTGTGACAGAGACTAGAGATTTTCTAATATAGATTGTAAGCTCTCAGAGAGCAGGGAGCAAGCTTTTCCTGAGTTCTGGAACCCTCCTATCTGCTAGCCTCTCACTTCATAACACTCTAATTTAATTAGTACCACATGTTATTCAAATATTTAGTAAATGTTGATTGCTATTCTACACTCATCTATTCTTATCCCTTTTATTCCAGTAGTGTTTCTGACCTATATTTTCTTTTTGCTTAACAGACAGTGTGGAGCATTCATTATTAAGACAATTGGGCAGCTCTAGTCCAGCTCAACTGATATCTTGTCTAATGATCCTTGTGTGGCCGAGATCCAGCTTCAACAAACCGGCTAGAAGCTGCCTGTTGTGAAACTTAGGGTTAGTTAATATCTCAATATACTTACTTATTCCACTATAAGCTATCTAAATTTGATAAAATTTGCTTTTTCAGCTGTTCTACAAAATTACTTAGGTAGATGTGGCATGTTGGGTTTTTTTAATGTGTTAATCTAACTGTGGTGACATTTTCTACATGTTTTATCCATTCCATAAATAATAACCACATTGGGAATAGTGAGGTGTCTTTTCATTTTCTCTGCTTTGTGTTATTTCTTTTCTTCTCAGACTTTTAGATGTTATGTTTCATACTTTAGTATTTATTTTAATATTTAGGATAAGAGTCATTTCTAATTTTAATAGAATTTTTAATACTTTCATACCTTTTAGAATATATTATATTAATTAAATTTAATGATTGAGTTCTGTTACTTTGCTTTACTATTTTGTCATTTAATATGATTTTTGTCTAATTATTTGTTACTGCTACTCCTTACTTAATTTTGCTTCTGCCATGGTTTTCAGAATTTGAATAGTATTTGTGCTTCTTTTTATATAACTTTTTCTAAATATTAGAAATACTGTCAACATGATCAGTATTCTTGCCTTTTCATGTCATTAATTTGACTATATTAAATTTTTTCTCTAATATTTAAGATAATACTTCAACCCTCCTATAACATAATCCATTTTGTACCAAATTTTATATAATATGGATCAACCTAGTGGAATCTTTATAAAAGAAGGGCTCACATCTGACATGATCCCATAATATTGACTGACATTCCACTGTGTTAGTGTTCTTTGACTGCTTTAATCTTTTAACCTTTTCTTCTTATGTGTTACCAATATATTCGATTATATATATGATTAATTTTTAAAAGGACAATTAATTGTTTTCACAAAATGTAAAACTTTTTCTTACACCAAAGGAAAACTTTAGATTCTGATTCTAAAGCCAGTTCTTCTTATAAAATTGGAAAATAGGTGGGGGAAAAAGTCACCATTCAGAAGTTACAAAACAAATCATAAGGGTTTTTAATCACTAAAATTTCTGTACTAGTGCAAAAAATATCCCTCTTTACATTCATTTGCAGTTACTTCACTGACTTCCTGATTTTAGAAGTTGGGGGGGAAAGCCATAAAAATTGGTTTACCCTAATAAATCTATCTCTTCCCTATCCTTCCAACCCCAAATGGATTCCATACTCAGCATTAGCAGCAGAAATAATAGGACATAGACCCCAGAGTTTTTCCTGGTGAGTCAAATGTGTGTTTTCTTTTGAAACCATAATAAATATGTTTGCCAGTCAAATGGTTTCATGAGAACAGTAGGACCCAATGAATGTATACTAGCATACAAGGATCCCATGTACATTAATCATTCTCAATTTTAGAAATGTAAATCGACTAATAAGTCCCACAGTGAAATTTCAAAGGTTTTTGTTCTGTCAGTAAAAATTTATTTACCACTGATGTTAGAGAGAACAATAAAGTTAATGTTTTGATTTTCAAAATGTGAAACATGATGCCAAACAAATCCTGGACTGATAATAAAAATTAATGATGTATTATTGGATAAGGAATTTCAATAATAATTGATACCCAAGTGTGTTTCTTCCATAGAACTATATAGAATATATGAATACACACATCTATACATATATAGCTTATGTGCATGCATATGCACACACATATATAATTCATACATACAAACTTTCTCAGAATTTAGCTTTATTTTGAGAAGCTAATAAAAATTTTAGAATGTGTTGACAGTCTGAATTTATGGAGGATATCATCCAACCATCTTCATGGCTTAGCTTGATATCCCAAACATGGTACTTTTAAAAATAGACACATTGAGAGGATGAAAATTCTCTTTACACATACTAAGTAAAGCCCATTTCATTTTTTTCTATTTTATAGTATATCTTCAACAGAGAATTTGTGTGTGTGTGTGTGTGTGTGTGTGTGTGTGGCTGGTGTTACAAGGCTGTGCTCTAACCAACTGAGCTAACCAGCCAAACCTAATTTTTTAAAAGTAAGCTTTTATTTACTTAGAGCCCATTTTGAAAGGCCAATCTGAAGAAATTATCTAAAATTCAGTTTGTGTTAGAGTGAAATGAATAATACAGATATTATTTCATGTACAAAATCACAAGGTAATAACTTTGCAACCTGTCTTCCCAAAATTTCTAATTACAATCAGAGATAGAAAGGTGGTAACATGTCAAAAGATTAAGGATTTTGGAAAATTAATGCTTTAACTTCCTCTACCAGCTGATTTCAGAAGGATGGCTTAGAAAGAGGTATGATTTAATTTATGACAGATTGCTTTATAAATTTCCACCAACAATGGCAGTACAATATTTTCATACAAATTTACACATGATAACTCCTGTATTTATGAGTATGTTTCCTGGATTTATGCTATACTTCACTATAAAATAATGAATTGGGGTCACACATAAAAATTATTTTATCTTTCCCAGAAATTGTGCTCTGATAGTATTAAAAGATAGAATGAAAGGACGAGAAAGGACTTTAGGAGTACATCAAATCCAGCTTCATTATCATGCTTCAACGTGCTCTATTGTTATTACAGTAAATTGCTGGCCCCTAGACCTATACTTTGACTAAAATTTATTCTGGAATCACTACAGACTTAAAAGGGACAAAGGGCAAAATTTTACCCAAAGGATGAATATAAATAATATTCATAATTGTGCTATTTCTTTCAGGTCTATTTACTGTTTTCATCCCTGTGCATAAATTCCTGAAAATACGGTATCAGCTTGCCATACAACTCTCTGATTAGCAGCTACAGCAGCTGCTATTTGTTGGGCCTGCTGTGTGTTTCTGTCTCTCTGCTTGTGTGTATTACATAAATTTGCTAATATTTTCTGCATTCTGCCGGTTCCTTTCAGAATTCAAGTGCTATTCAACATTACTTGTTTTATTTCACATTGTCATTTTTTTATTTCTCCTTTCCATGTGAGATAATCCCTCAGTTTTCCATATACTAGTTTCATGGTTATCTAGATGTTACCCACTTTCTGACTGGTCAGGTTCCACAAATATAAAACAGCAGGCATCCATTTCAAACTAGTGAACTAACAGATTAATTAAGGATTTCCAGTTTTATAATTCTTTTCAGGCATGCCACTTAAAATAGTATCAATATAATGCCAAGCCTGATTATAGTTAAATGAAAAAACGTAGTAACAGGCCAAATAGTTAAGACATTTCATTTATGCTAACGAGTGATACCATATTGATATCCAACTTATTTTTAAAACACGTAATTTATAAATTTTCCATCTATTGACTTGTCAGTTTTCCTCATTTGACAATGTATTCATATTTCTTAGTTAATAGAAGCTAATACTTGAAGATTTAGTGATATTTTGTTGATAATTTTCTATTTAAGCTAGCATGTTAGCCTCGATTTTGCATTTCTATCAAGGTGTGTACCTACAGAGTAATTGTTATTTAGTATTTTTCTAAAGGTCATATGGGTCATAAACATCTCCTCAGTATACTTCCTCCCTTTGGAAATCAGGTGAGAGAAATGCCTCTCTATACTTAGAGACTAAAGGCCTTCCCTTCCTCCCCTGCTAAGAGTCTTTACCTCACTTCAGCCCTTTTACTTATTGGTGGTTGTTCATCAGAGAAAATTTGGGAGACCCTAGATCTTCGCACTTCTTCGGAATGTACCTACAAGATTTTGGTATGCCCTTAGGCCTGAAGAGAGAATGTCTAATAAGAAAGTCCTTTGATTAGACTCTTCTTTCTTCTCCATTTCTTCCTTTGTGGGACAGTGAATATAAAACACATATGTAATAGTTTTTCTTTCCTGGAGAAAATAAGGATAAGTCCTATTCACCCAACTCTACAAACCTTCTTGACTGAAAATGAGAGTGCTTAAGGATATTTATTATGTAGCCATTGTTTATGCACTGTCATCTCTGCTTTCATTTTCAAATAAAGCTCTAAGCTGAAAGAAAAGAAATGCAATTAAGCGCAGTTAATTTTGTAAGAGTTTTGCCTAATTCCAACTATATTACAAATGGCTTTTTAAATTCAAAAGATATTCATGAAGTCTGTGCCCAGCCCTATTTGCACATACATACACAAAAAAACCGGGGGGGGGGGGGGGGAAGAAGATATAAAAACTATTCTTTTATGAAGTTGTTACAAAAAGCAAACGGAAAGGGCATTCTTGGGGGGGACGGGAGCGAGGGAGGAGGGAGGGAGGTGTCGGTGATGGGCCATAATAAACATATACATTGTATATTGACAAAATAAAAATTTAACGAAAAATAAATAAATAAAATAAATTCAAAAGATATTCCCACAAAAAAAAAAACATTTATATTGAGGTAAATATATAACCTAATAATACTAACTTGGAATTCTAGATTTAGACAATAAAAGCAGGAGAGAAAAAGTACTTTTTTTCCTGTCTCAACTTCCCTAAGAATAGGTTAAGAATAGGAATGCCTATTAATCCAAAAGACTTAATCCAGATTGGCAGAATTTCCAACATGTAATGCAACATGAAAAAATTCAGGCAATGTGGAGAAAGGTGTTTTGGGTTAAGGAATCCAGTTTAAATGCAGTTAATTCATACTTTACAAAGGTCATTCTTGGTTTTCACAGCTTCTTTCCTTCTTCCATTTCTGAATGCATTGATACTCTTAAAGCTGCATGTTTTTCCACAGTGATTTCTAGTAATAACAGTGAGCATTTTGGAAGTATGAAAGAAGAAAGAACCAGGATAGCTTTTGCTTCAATGTGGACTGATATATCTTTTTAAACCACGATTAATTTTGCTTTATATATTATAAAGAGTATAAGAGAACATTTTAAAAGGCAATCAGGCAGTTACCTCTGTGACTAAATCCTAAAGATAAGATGAAACTAGGAAGGATGTGTTATTACACATTAATACACATCTTTTTTGTATATCTGTATCTTATTCTATATTTCAAAAAGTCTATCCTGTTTCCTCAAAGGCTTTCATAGGTGTAACCTTAGGTAATGAGATTCAACATTTTGTACTGTACTTTAGCAAATGTGTATTTGTGAACGCTGTTTCTGTCATAATCTAGGAGTTATCTCAGTTAAGTATTTTCTCCATCAGATGGGACTTGTGGTATTCACACTAATAGTGATTTTACTTTCACTAATGAAGAATTTGAAATAAAAAATGTTTCTAATATCTCACAGTATTTGAGTTTCAGATACTCTTTGGGCTATAATCACTTGTATCATCATTCTGTTCTTTTAAGTCCAGTTGAAAAAGATCTGGATCATATGAAACTTGAGGCTTTGTGATCATCTATAAGTGATCATCTATAAGTCCCTTTTATAGCAATGTCTTGATTGGAGCTTTCTTTAGTTTTATATGTGTGTGTGTGTGTCTATGTATCTGTGTATGTTCAAGGGGTCTTCAAAAAGTTCATGGAAAATGCTTATTATGAAAAAACTATGCGTGGATTGTAAAAAATTTTTGCGCCGAAATAAACTACTAACTTGTTATATAACATGTCTGAACAGGATCTAGTTTGAAGCGTTAAGAAGGATAAGACAGTTTGAAAAAAACGCCTATCAGAGCAACATGAATTCTGCAAAAATTGAAGCAAAAACAAACATTAATTCTGCTAAAACTGAACCAAAAAAAAAAAGTAAAATAATTGATGCTTTACAAAAAGTTTATTGGGACAACGCCCCCAAAGAAATCAGCAGTTTACAACTGGATAACTTATTTTAAGGGACAAGACTAGCCGGGGCTGCTGTGGTGCTCGGGAGCCGGCCATGCCTCCGAGGCTATGGGGGAAGGGGGCGCCGTGGGGCGCCTCCAGCCGTACCCCTCGCCCCCGGCGCCGCCGGGGCGGGGGGGGCGGGGGGGGGGGGGGGGGGGCCGCGGGGGGGCGCCCCCATCCGTCCCCCTCGCCCCCGGCGCCGCCGGGGCGGGGGGGGCGGGGGGGGGGGGGGGGGGGCCGCGGGGGGGCGCCCCCATCCGTCCCCCTCGCCCCCGGCGCCGCCGGGGCGGGGGGGGCGGGGGGGGGGGGGGGGGGGCCGCGGGGGGGCGCCCCCATCCGTCCCCCTCGCCCCCGGCGCCGCCGGGGCGGTGGTGGCGGCGGTAGCAGCAGCGTCAACGGCAGCCGCAGCGGTGGTGGCCGGCCGCGACGGCGGCGAGGACGAGGGTACGGGGCGAGCCGCAGTGGGCCTTAGCGAGGCTGCAGGAGAATGTATTTACTGGGCAATCAATTCCTACATGAGCCCGAACAAATGCTTTGGAATGCGTTCCCCTCTTCAGGAAGAGAACTCAGTTGCACGTCACAAAGTCAAATGCCACGGGAAACCGTTAGCTGGAATCTACCAGAAACGAGGAAAGAAATGCTGGGAATGCAATACGGAACACCATGAAGTCCAAGGAGCAGAGGATCAAAGACTCCAGGAGAGGTCCTCTGGCACCTTTAGCAAACCAAAAATCTAAAGCAGCAGAACCTCCAAAATTCTCCTAATGCAGCCATCGCCAAGCAAGCCCTGGAATAGCTCAAGGAAAAACGCACA